TCTAGCAAAGGCACAGATCGTGGAAAGGAGCTTCAATATTCGTCCTCAGCCAGCGGGGAGTTCCCAACCCTCAGTTTCGTTCCACATGCCAGCACCTACTGCGCCTGCCCAACCAAATAAGAGGCCCAGACCAGCCATCCAGGCCCCTCCTCAGGCTCTAGGGGCAGCACATGGGAAGATCTGTCAGCACTGCGACAGAGATCAAAGGGACCGACCATGCTACCGCCTCAACAACACCTGTCGCATATGTGGCAGTGTCCAGCATTATGCAAGAGAATGCCCGAGGAACCAGAATCAAGGAAGGCCTCCTATCCAGGGCAGAGCTTACAACCTTACCCAGTAGGATGCCGACGCTGACCCGGATGTGGTACAGGGTAAGCCCAAGAAGGGAATTTATATTCAAGAGATTCTGGTAGTCCGAGACTTCCCATATGTGTTTTCAGATGAACTGCCCGGTCTGTTAGCGGACAGGGAAGTCGAGTTCACTATAAACCTACAGCCAGGTACCCAGCCCATTTCGGTTGCTCCTTATCGCATGAGCTGCATTGAGATAGAAGAGCTGAGGAAACAGATCACTGAATTGCAAGATAATAGTTTTATTAGACACAGTGTGTCCCCTTGGGGTGCCGGAGTCACTTTTGCAAGGAAGAGAGATGGAAAGTTGAGACTGTGTATTGATTACAGAGGATTGAACAAGGTTACAATTAAGAACAAGTATCCCCTTCCCCAGATTGATGACCTCTTCGATCAGCTGCAGGGTGCACAGGTCTTCTCTAAAATAGACCTGCGATCAGGTTACCATCAGATGAAGATAAGAATAGAAGACATCCTCAAGACGGCCTTCCGAACCAGGTACGGACACTATGAGTTCCTGGTCATACCATTTGGACTAACCAATGCCCCGACAATCTTTATGGATCTGATGAACAGGGTCTTTAGAGAGTTCTTGGATCAATTTATCATCGTATTCATCGATGATATCTTAGTATACTCAAAAAGCAGAGAAGAACATGCTCATCATCTTGCCCAAGTTTTGTAGGTCCTTAGAAACAAGAGGTTATATGCAAAGTTGAGCAAGTGTGGATTCTAGCTTGAGCAGACCACCTTCCTAGGACATATCATATCGAAGGAAGGGGTATCAGTGAATCCCAAAAAGGTTGAAGCGGTACTTGGCTGGGAGAAGCTGATATCAGTTAAGAAAATCCGCAGCTTCT